CTTTCCCTATTCGCTTTATATTGTGTCATTAGTTTAATGTGATAGATAAGATACAGTTGAGAGAAATGTTTGACTGGTTTGCTTGTCTTTTTCCTTATCAAAACATTTTTAGGTTTGGTCTGGTTTTTTCAGGATTGTACAATTTTCTTCAAGATAACATGTGATCACGTGCGAAATGTATATGCTGAATTTGTATTAACAGTCCAGGGTTTTGATTGCTAATCAGTTCCATTGTTTTCATCAGTTACCAGCTCCAAAGAGGGGTGACATTGTTAGGCAGATTGGCGATGCATTGAGAGCTAAACTCCAACACCTTGGTAGGCTCGTTTCACTTGAGATGGGAAAAATACTACCCGAAGGGATTGGCGAAGTTCAGGTGAGAATATTCAAGCCTTTATGATCTCATTTTTTGGAAAACCTCTGGATGATTTATTAGTGGTATACCTTGTCCTGCTATTATTTCGCTATTTGTTCTTTTTGACTATAATCCTAAAGTAGGGACTTTTAAATTGAGTTATTTGCTACATTATACGAAAAAAAGGAGCGGTATGCACAAAAGCCCAGCTTTTGGTGAATTAAATGTTATTGAAATGTTTGGCACCACTCATTTATTCGCATATTAACATGTGTTCTAAGAACTTCCAGAGAAATGACTCATACTTTTCCATACTACTTAATGGAACCATTTGCCAAACTATGTATTAGCTCATACTAAATAAAAACTATAGTGTCATTTATTTTTGTATAAGAATATAATGATATATCAACTTGACACTGAGAAAATTACAATAATCATGCAACTTGCCAAACCATCATCAACATTCATGTGACATCTGCACATATACATTTTTTTCCTGCCAAACTTGTCACTTTATTCTTCAAACTAGTTTTCTTTCTGGACAAGAGTTAGTTGGGGCCTTAAACATGAAGCAATTTTTGAGCTCATCAAGTTTTTGTGGATTGTATTCTTTCACAGGGCTTTAAAATCTCCTGTTTTTTTGCGAACTAAAAGAGAGTATTTTATGGAGGCTGATAAAGCAGAGCAAAAGCACTAGTAAGCGATTGCTTTTGTCTGAATACTTTATATTCTTAGTTCAAGTTTTCATAGGGTTTTATGCGCCCATAGGTAATTACCCTTTTTGTTTGTGAGAGAGATCTTTTGGTTAAGGCCAGACTTATATGTCTTTAAAGATTTATTATGGTGGTTTTCTTTAGAGTTTGATTTCTTATTACTCTTTGGTGAGAGAAAACTTCACTTATAAGCTCATAAGAGATTATAAGAAGAATGATGATAAATTCGATTAAGATCTCATGGTTCTATTGTTAGGGGATTGTAGTGGGCCTTGGTCTACTTTGAGATGGTAGCTGCCCCATATTGAACAAAGAATCCTTGGAGGCAAGTGACAATCATAGGTTGCTTTGTCTAAGGGGCTGTTTGGTTTGCTAAAAAAGTATTGCATTGAAAACTGCATGCAATGCAAAAGTAATGTACTGTATTTGAAATATTTTGTTGTTGTTTGGTTCAGTGTAAATTAAATGCACAACTTCATTTATTTTTTTTTGTTTTGGTTTGAAGTTTTGGTTTGAAGTAAAAATAAAATAATGTATTTCAAAATATATGAGGTATTTTATAAATATTGAGCTGCAAGGGGAGGTAGCGACAAACAACAGTGGTGGTATGACCACTGTCGTCGATTGTCCCTGACAACAGTGGCTGACTGTTATTTTGGGCGGCTGTTGTTGCCGGTGATGACGGCGGCATCGACAATGACTGAGACCACTTTACATAGAATTGTGTATTTCTAATTCAATCAAATCCACCAAATTTCAAATACAAAAAAAAAAAAAAGAACTAATGAATGATTTCAAAATTCATTCCTATTTTACACTGTGCTTGTGATTTTTCCCACTAAATGCTTGATCTCTTAAAAACTTTGCAAAAAGATTACAATACACCCATAATTTTTTTGACCAAACAACCCCTAAGAGAATTTCATAGACTAATGATAAAATGTTGTTAATGCTAATTTCATGACCAATCTCAACTATTCGAGGGTTTTATGCCTTAAATATTGTGCCATATGACTCATAGTTCATAAGCTTAATTGTTTGGAAATGTTTGAGCTTTGATCATTTTCATACCGTAATGTTGCATCACAATTAAGCTATTCATTCTTTCAAAGGGTGTTATATTCCTATAGATGTGAGATTTTTAGTGCGATTATATGGACATAATAATATGACATTGGTTATTTATGAAATACTTACTCTCGACGCATTTGAGATAGAGGAAAAATGGGTGGTTGCTCTGAGCACATAGCTATAATTGTTTTTTGTGGGCTTTTTGTTTTCTTCTTTTTTGTTGTATTTTTTATGGGGGTTTGGTTGGTGAGGCTTAGATGCTGAATATCTTTAAACGGATTTTTTTTCTTTCATTTAGGGAGCGAGTAATTGAGAATTGTAGAAGAGACCATTGCAACAATGGATACATTAGCATCAAATAGTGTTTTCAAGTATCACAAGTCCAAATAGTTTTTCCAGATATGGTAGTTATGAATAATGGCATCATGTATACTATAGCAATCACTAGTAGTTTCGAATATTGTAACAGTGAGCATCATTTTTTGCTTTAACATGAATGAGCTTGAAGAATTCTCGTAAGAGCTTATTTATAAATCTTCAACGGTGTGGACAAGCTTTTGGTACATTATTGACTTGCCTTTTTGCCATCGCTCTTCGGAGTGTCTATGTGTCTCCCATGCTGGGTCTCTAAACCAAATAGTTTGAGCTAAGTCTGAGTATACTTCAAATGGTGGTACGTGCAAGCATAATTTATGAGAGTTTAAATTTGGATCAAGCTTATAATGATCGAGCATAAATGAAAGGCCTTACAACCCCAAGTTGGTTAAGAGAGTGGCCAACATGTCTCAAAATTTTGGATCAATCTCATAATGACTAAGCATGGCCCAAAGACATCAAAAGCAGGGGTTGGCTAATAGCGTTAGGGCATAACTTAAGCGTTCAAGCATAGGCTTTAGGCTTAAAAGCTTGCATCGACCTTGCAACGATTGAGCATAACTGATAATCCTTAAAATTTTATGTAGTTTATAACTTAGGCTTGGACTTGGCATCTATGAATTAGCTTACATAACTGAAAAGCTAAGACTGACATTGTGGTTGTAGAGCTTCGCCATAAGTCCTTAAAATTTTAGTCTAAGTTGGAGTCTCAATGTTAGACTTAGGCAAATTTTGTTGCCTACAACAACTCATCATCCAATCCTAGAATCAAACAAAATTTTTTGTAGAATTTTGGCACCACCTTTGCAAGGGCCTTTATAAGAAGAGTATTATGCCACCCTAACATGCCTATAAAAATTTCTCTGTGGTGATGCATGAGGCAATGAGGCTATAAATTAGTCACCCCTCATATTAAAAGGGTATATGGGTGATGCACGAACCATTTAAGTAGAAATAAAATGTCCTTTAAATGCTCCCAAAGGCATGAATTTGACTTCATGGATCTCTTGTAGTGGTTGGTGGAGCAAACTATAACACTAATGAGACATGGAGGGGGCCTCTTTATTATACAACTAAAGGTGTATGAGTCATTAGAAGGATTTCTTCCATACTTTCAAAAGATTGTATCGTGTTAAGTCTAATATTTACAGACCTAGTGTGCTAGACTTGAGAGATTATTTGTGCAAATGAAAAAAAAAAAGAAGAATTAACATAAGTGAACTTTGCCACTACACACTGCTAAAAGGACGTATGAGTGGTACTTGTTGATCTTTGCTCTACATTGGAGCTAAAAACTGGTTTTGGCAAGCTCCCTGTTAATAGGATTGAGGTGCACCACCAAAATTTAGCAGAAAATTCAACTAGATGATATAAATTGTAAAATTTCTTCAATACTTGCCTTCCCCTCGATGTCATAATTTATGAAAAGGCATATAATCCCTTTCCCCTCTTCTTCTGATAGGCGATGGCCTGTTTGTCTGAGAGTTGTGGGATTAATATATGAATAGTAAAATTTGGGTCACTGTTCATCCTTTTTTATTTTCAGGCTTTACAATGTATGATGGCATACATTATGCCACTTGTGGGAGCACATTTATAGAAAACATGGGCTCTTGAACTTTATTTTGGAACAATGAATTACAATATTTTTTATGACAATTTTTTGACACATTGATGACTTGCCTACAGCTGCTTTCATTGGCTTCAATGCGGCTCTTTTTAGGATTGTAGATTGGGTCAATTGGCCCAAGGCGAACACAGTCTAATGTTGCATTGTGAAACTAGAATTTATGTCAACAGTGCATGGCATTTTGATTTTGACTGGAGAAAAGTACATTATTTTCTGGTCCATGATTTACTCTTTTCCCATTCAACACATTTATGGTATTGTAACACAGGCATCATAGTCAAAAGCTACGTGCTTGTCTATTTCTTTCTCTACTATAGAAACACTCTGCAAACTTTTTTATCATCATCTTATGCAGGAAATTATTGACATGTGTGACTTTGCTGTTGGGTTGAGCCGACAACTAAATGGATCAGTTATACCTTCAGAACGTGAGATCAATCTCATATTTTCTTTGTATCAGAAATTCTTAAGTTTTCAATTTTACACCATACAACCGCTACAATTGTACTAATTTCTCTGAAAATTACATTTTTTCCCCTCTCATTTATAGGTCCTAATCACATGATGATGGAGGTGAGGATGATATTTGCCTTTTGGGCGAAGATGCTTTCTATTTTACAGCAATGGCAAGATATTACTTTGTCTAGTTTTCATTTTTTTCATATGCTTCAGATTTGGAATCCCTTGGGTGTAGTGGGTGTTATAACTGCCTTCAACTTCCCTTGTGCTGTACTTGGTAAGCTTGTACTTCATCTCCATTTCATTACAAGTTCATTTAAATGTAATAGTTATTCTAATATGTGATTTTGGCTTGTCATTAGACTCAGTTACATGCTAAGGAATATAAATTATAAACCATTATTAATTTTCATTAACTTCAATTGACGTAGATTTGAGTGCCATGATGTGTTATTTTGGTAAACTTGTACTTAAATCAACCTTATTTTAAAAGTTAATCTGTTATGGCTGTATTTCTTAGCTTAATCTTATAATGATGTACTTGCAATGTTCTTTCTTATGGTTTCTTCATGTTTACCTAATCAAACTCTATGTGAGAGAATATTTTGTTTCTTTCTAACCACGCATAACCTGTTTGAGTTAATATGTATGTTTCCTTTTGATGCAGGATGGAATGCCTGTATTGCACTGGTCTGTGGTAACTGCGTTGTATGGTAAAGCCTTAGTATTCTATATTAATCTAATTTGTTCATTAATTTTTGGTCATTAATTCTTTGCATGCATGCACACTGATTTTATTTCATGTTTTTTTTTGCTGTTTGCTTGCGTAGGTGCTCTTCCATCATCATCTAATAAATTACCAATTTTTGCTTGAATTTGTTTTGTTAAAATGTATTGTCAAACCTTAGGTGCGTAGAAAAACAAAAGCTAGCATCTTTTCTTGTACTGCCATTATTTGTACTACTTTATTATGTTATATCTTAGACTGTGAATGGCTGATTGGAATCACATTGTGAAATGTTGCAATTTTCCTAATACTAATTGCTTTGGGTTTGCCTAAAGTTTCTATTTTTGTTAAGGGAAAAAATGTGTTTGAGAACTGAAAAAGCGTTTATAGCAAATATTTTGAGTTATCACATCTGATGATCTTTCTTATCACTTATTATATATATATTTTCTTATGGTAATTTGTGCTTAATTTTCTATTTTTTCCTTTTTTGTTGCTATGTTCTATCCAGTAAATATAAGCAGCATTTTTGCAATTACAAAGCTCTTGAAAAAAGGATGATCATAAACAAATAATGCTATTTAATACTTTATCTTTAAATTATTGTTTCTTTAGTAAGCAACACCTATATATTGCTTATATTTTTTTAGTCAGAAGCTGGATGACTACAGAGATCAATACCATGAACTCTTACATGAGCTCTAAAAATAACACATCTAATTTTATTTTTATGCAATGCTACAGTATTGCTGAATATTTATTGACTTTTTAGCACCATCAATACAGGAAAGGCGCACCAACAACCCCACTAATTACTATTGCAATGACCGAACTAATTGCTGGAGTATTGGAGAAGAACAATTTACCAGGCGCAATTTTTACAGCATTTTGTGGAGGTGCTGAAATTGGTCAAGCAATAGCTCGTGACATACGGATACCTCTTGTTTCATTTACTGGAAGTTCCAAGGTACGACATGCAAGCTGGGAAGCTCATTAAGATCATACTTTAATAATTAGTTATAGATGAAAATAAATTATTATGTTGCAAATACTGAATTGGTAGGCTGCATTATGCCCTATTTTATGAGTGGTGCTTGGCTTAATGATGAAGTTTTAGATGTTATTTTTCTTAGTGTTATTCCAGCTGATGGTAGAGGCATTCGAGGATTCAATATCATATATCAGTGATTCACTTTGAATATTTGTGTGTATATATATCTATATCTTTATTTTTTATTATTTATTTATTTATTTTTATTTTTTAAAAGAAAATCGATATTTGGCAAATGCCCAAATATCGATTTCCCAGCTTTTTTTGGCCCCATGACAAGAGCCCGCGCCATGTACAAACTATTCGAGAACCCCACACGACGGGGAATCGAACCCCTGACCTGAGGTGACTTACAATGACCCCGCCACTAACAGGCCAAGGCTTGCACACATATATCTATTTCTCAATATTAATACAATAAGCCCAAGTTTTACTAGGTCTACCTCTGTCTTTCTTAACATAAGTTGAATCTAAAATATCTACTCTTCTAATCGGATCGTCAGATGGTCGAAGTTTGATGTGACCAAACCATCTAAGACGACTCTCTCTAATTTTGTGCGCCAGTGGAGCTACACCAACCCTATCACAGATATATTCATTTCACATTTTGTCTCTAAGCGTAAAACAACTCATCCACTTAATCATTCTCATCTCAACAACAATTAACTTAGTTTTATGTTTCTCTTTTAAAGGCCAACATTCAACACCATAGAGCATTGCAGGTCTCACCATCGTCTTATAAAATTTTTCTTTCAGTCTAAGCGGTACTTTTCTATCACACATTAGGCCCGAAGCATTCCTCCACTTCAACCAACAACCTTGAATTCTACTAATAACATCCCCATCAATATCACCATTACTTTGAACAATAGACCCGGGATATCCAAAGCATTCGTACCTTTGAATAATTCGATCACCCATAGTTACATTTCTGTCACAAGAGCTGCTACGACTAAAATTACATTCCATGTATTCAGTTTTAGTTCTACTCAAACGAAGACCTTTAGACTCCAAGGTAGACCTCCATAATTCAGGTTTTTCTTGAAATTTTTCTCTCGTCTTATCCACAAGAAGGATATCATCAACAAAAAACATACATCAAGGTACATCCTCCTGCAAGTGTCCAGTAAGACCATCCATAACTAAAGCAAAAAGATATGAGCTTAAAGCCGATCTCTGATGTAAACCAACAGAAATAGTAAAATATTTGGTCAATCCTCCTCCTGTTCCCTGATGTAAACCAACAGAAATAGTAAAATATTTGGTCAATCCTCCTCCTGTTCCCTGATGTAAACCAACAGAAATAGTAAAATATTTGGTCAATCCTCCTTCTGTTCGAACACAAGTAACATCTCTTGGAACACAAGTACAAGTAACATCTCTTGTATACATATCTTTAATGACTTGAATATAAGTCATATCAACACCTTTCTTCTCAAGAACTATCCAAAGGAAAAACTTGAATTATGGAGACGCAACTTATCAGAATGGAAATTTAGCGACTAAATCAATTAAAATCATATGTAGATCCTCCTTTTTATCTCTGAATTTCTCCATCAATCCTCTCAATAAATGTATAGCTTCCATAGTAGACTTTTCCGACACATATGAAGATGCTTGCATAACATACACATTTATCCATTTAAGATAGTAAATGGCCACAACTTATGAAACAATGGCTTCACATTCGATAATATTTGTAATAAGTCCCATTTGGTTTCTTGAAGGACGAAAACATGTTTTTAAAAGTGTAAGTTTGCTAGATTCCATGATTTTGTTGAATGTAATTAAAAATTATATTGTTATTAACTCTCATTTGTTTCTTGAAGATAGAATACATCTTTTAGAAAATACTGTAAATTTAATTGTTTGTAATTAAAAATCAATGTGAATGTTAAATTCTATGATGTCAAGATGATAATTTTATTATCACTCGAACAGTTTGTGAAAGTGAAATTGTCATTTTCTTAAACATGTCTTATTTCTAGAAACAACCAAATGAACCCTTAGCATGTTCTGATGTACCTTACTGGAAGGTTAGGTATCTTTGGAAATTTTTATGCGTGTTAATTTGAAAATTCTCACTGTTAAGATCTTTATAGGATGAACTATTATCGAGCTATTCGATTTAATATTGTTCAACTGGATTTTGAAATAATGTATATGGAGTATCCTATCATTGGAAAACTAGTTAGAATACACAAATCATCTCTTTTTTAACTGACTGATTTTTTATGATTATTCTTCAGTTTTTGGAGCATATAAAGTTAGAGCATTTGAAATTCAAGTTGGCCTTCTTTCACGTCATACTTTACTATAAATAGGTTCTCATTTAAGCTGGGAGTTGCCACGAACTGTTTTTGATGGAGCTTTTTAATTTCTCAAACATTTAGAAAACTTATGGGTTATCATGTTTCGGCTGGTTTCATTCCTTTGAACTATGAAATTTATCCAGGAGTGGTTTAATATATTGGTATAGGCTTTCATCCCTTAGTTGAAATGTCTATGATTGAACCCAGTGAATGTATTTAATGCTTTTCGAAAGCAATTCAAGCCTCTTGGAAGTACAGGTGACTGCCTAGTTGTTAAATCATCAAAATTCTTTCTTCATAAACCAACAATAAATGTTGAATTATTTACTTATCTTTTAGATTTATGTACATCAGTTCTTGATAAAACCAGTGTAAGAGATTTAGCAATCTCTTACAATTGGTCATTTTATTTTACGTACCTGAGATTTTGCCATTTGCATGGTCTGTTTTTCTCTTTCTATCCATGTTTTGTCAATACGTATATGCCAGCCAGATATCAGGTTTATCTATATGTTTATGCGAAATCTTAGTTACACAAGGTCAATTCTGGGTATATGGTTTGAGAACATGGATGCTTGTATTGCCTATTGGCGCAATATAAGATTCCCTTCACCTGATATTATCGTTATTTATTTGTTAATCTAATTGCTTATTAATGAACCATTAATTAGTCCACCCACAGTTAGGTATTGCTTACTTTGCTGATGTACAGCTAGATGTTTTTTATACGCTATTGCCATAATGATTTGCTTAGGTTTTGTTTGCTATCATTTTTATTTTTGTTTGTCTTTATTTTAAAGACATGTTCATTTAGTGCATTTTTTGCAAGTTTTTATTTTGTTTTTAGAAACAAATTAGCTTGTTTTTAAAAACACTCAAAACATCTAAATGATATTCTTAGAGTTTTTAAAAACATCTAAATATCTTATATTATACCATACATGTTTTGTTTTAAATCGATTCTAAAAAAATAAAATAAAAAATAAAAATCAAAAGTGATCTCAATCGGCCTCTTAGAAAAGCTAAGGGGCCTGTTTGGGATCAGATATATTTTTTTTGTTTTTTCTTTATTTTTTTTCTTATGCTTTTAATAATATGTTGTTTAGTGTGTTTTATTCATGTTTTTATTTTTTGTTTCTAAAAACAAAGTAATTTATTTTTGAAAACATTCAAAACAACTTTAAGTGCAGTCATTCGCTTATTCAAATAGCCCAACATGTTTTCTTTCAAATCAAAATATATATTAACAAAATAAAAAAATAAAAGTGATCCGAACGGCCCCTAAAAGTTTGTCTTTTATATGTTATGGTGATCTGATTGAATCTCCAAATACAGGTTGGCCTTATGGTTCTACAGACGGTTAATGAGAGATTTGGAAAATGTTTGCTTGAACTTAGTGGGAACAATGCAATAATTGTCATGGATGATGCTGACATACAACTTGCTGTTCGCTCAGTCCTATTTGCTGCTGTCGGTACTGCTGGACAACGCTGCACAACTTGCAGGAGGCTGGTAATAGCCCGACGATATTGAGTTCTGTCCCAATAATAGCTCCATTGGTTAATTTTTTCTATGTTGGTTTTATTTTGTTGGATGTAGCTACTTCATGAAAACATATACCAAGAATTTCTAGATCAACTGATTGGTGTATACAAACAAGTTAAAATAGGGGACCCTTTGGATAAAGGTACCTTACTAGGGCCACTGCACACTCCTGCTTCCAAGGAGAACTTTGTAAATGGAATCGAAGTTATCAAATCTCAGGTATGTTAATTACTTTACAGTCATTTGTAATGCAGTAGAGTAGGCATGTTTTAGTTTCTTCAAAAGGAATTGCTTTTCTTTGTAATTTTATACCAACACTGACAGCTTAAGGCCTTTATAATTTTGGTTTTTGTGTGGTTAGTTATATAAGAAGTTCATCAAAGAAGTAAAGGGAATAAACAGAAAAAAATATGATGGGAAAAATGAAAGCTGGCTCACACTGAGCTCTCCTGGATGGGCTGTAGGTCTCACCTTCACTGAAAATTAAAGTTCCATATATATTAGTAAGACGAGAGTTTCACGATAGAAATAAGATTTTTGTTTATGCAATAAGCTATCTAATGCTACTTAGAATTTTATTATTTTAGATGAAATAAAAACAAATTTTAAAAATACTAATTAATTTGTTGTTAATAAAGTGCCAATAAATTAACAATTGCAAACAAATTTAATGGAACAAATTGATAAAATATAAATTGATTATGCTCTTATGAGAAAGAAGAGATCTTCGAGAACGAAAAGATGGTAAGATCATTCCAAGTGAGGATTTAAGTACTCAACATCGATTATTATTTCTAAATTTTAAGATAAGAAATGTAAAATAAAGTATACTAGGAATTATTATCTTAGAATTAGTTGGGGGCATATAAAAGATACAAATAAAATTAATTTGATCAGTAAAATTCAAGATTTCAAGATTTGAGACGTTAAAGATTTGAGACGTTAATGAAGAAAAAAATTCTATGTGGGATAAATTAACAAACACTATTAAACGAGTGGCAAAAGATGTATTTGGAGAATCAAAATGAAAAGTTTTCATAAATAAAAATAGTTGGTGATGAAATATAAAATGTATAAGATAAAATGTAAGAAGTTACGTTGTAAAAATTGGTTTAAATGTAAAAGCTTAGAGAACTGAAAAAAATATAAAATCACCCGTAAGGAGTCTAAGACAACAATCTGTGATGCTAAAAATTACAATCTGTGATGTAAGGAGTCTAAGACAACAATCTGTGATGCTAAAAATTATGCTTTTAGTGATATTTATAATAGATTAGATACTAAAGAGGGTGAAAAATGCCAAACAAAACTAGCCAAACAAAAAGAAAAGAAAATTAAAGATTTAATTCAAGTAAAGTGTATTAAAGATGAAATGAAAAAAAAATCTTTTTTTTTGGAAAAATATATTTAATATAGGTGGGTGAGTTATTTTGATAAACTTTGTAATAAATTTCTTGAAAATATGATCGACCTTAGTGATCTTAACATTGTTAATAATGATAAATTTCTTTTTTTTACCGTCGAATTGGTAAAAAAAAAAGTTTAGAAGGCTTTAAAAAAATCAAGGGTGGAAAGTTTATAGGAACTGATGATATCCAAATTAAAGTGTGAAAATATATAGGAAATTTGGGAGTTTCTTGGTTTACTAAACTCTTTAATATATTTTAAAAACTAAAAAGATGCCTGAGTGAAGGAAGAGTACTTTGGTCCCCATTTTTAAGAATAAAGGGGATGCACTAGAGTGTGCAAATTATAGAAGAATTAAGTTGATGTTTTATACTTTAAAATTATGGGAGAGGGTAATTGAACATAGGTTAAGACGTATTACAAAGATTTCTCATAATCAATTTGGATTTATGTCAATGCCCACTGACATTTCACAAGAATTATTACATTTTTACAATTTAACAACCATGATACAACTTAAAATTTTGAAACGATCTATTAAACTTTAAGTAAAATATTTACAAGGAAAATTATTACCAACTGGAAAGCAATAAGGCACACACAATATGTAATGAGTAGCACATAATATAAACACATACTGACCTAAATCTTTTGACTGAAGAGGAGCGGAGTGCACATTGTGTGCTGGGCAAAGTGATGATGGAGAGCGGGCTTTTCCACTTCAGTTTCTCTTGACTATATAAGCCAATTTCTTTGCCCTCAACTAAAGATGAAATTGAAACTATATGATGGAGAAAAAATTACGGGAACTGTATGTAAGAAGCTTCAGTCACTGCTGCCCATTTCTCTTCCTGGAAGGGACTTCACCAACCATAATAAAAAAACTTTTCATCAAAATTATTGCTAGAGACTCTGCCAATATAATCATAAAGTACATAAATTTAAAATTTGATATGCACTCTTTAAGCTTTGTATAGTGATCTATAACTGGGCAGAGTAGGTTTATAGAGCTGGTAGGAATAATATTATGGCGAGGAGGAGGAGGAGAGGTGTTTGCGGGTGCGGGGCTAACCAGGGACAGCTAACTGGTATTGGGTAAGGGAATTTCTAATCTTGTTTGATTTTAACTTGAAATTAACATTCTAAGACTTTTAATTTATAGAGTAATAGGAGCCCATCCATTCATTCACAATGTGCAAACCTTGTCTTAAATTTTATATATCCATAGCTATACTTTCTTAAGAATAGCGAACTATGGTTAGATCATCCTATTAAGAAATTCTGTAATGAATTTTGGGTTGTTTTCTTTATTCTCTCCTAGTTTTTTCTCTCCTCTATCCATCACCACAACCTCTGCTAATCGAATCTCGATAGCAATTTTATAATTTTGTTCTCTTCTCAATCAATATTTATAATTTAGCTTTCAATTTAATATCGCAAATTGAGAGCCTCTTGAATTCAAATTTTATTTTTAGTTGTATGATTATTCTTACATTATACATAACAAAACGCTCGCATTCCATGTCTTTATGGTTCAAAAAATTGGTCAATCCTCTTGAAAGCTGTGCGCAGAAACAAGCTTTCACCGACTCATGTTTATAAGCATGTTTTGTAGTTGCATTTTGTGTTCGAGAATGCTTGAAAAGTCTGAATCATTTCATTATTGTCCTGTCCAGCTTTCTTACATTTACTCTGGCTAATTGTAAGTACATATTGGCGTGTGTTTCCTTGGGTTACTTCTATCTAGAAATAGCATATGAGTGAGTGCCACAGTTCAAGAGAAAGACTTGGAATGCTCAGTTCTGAGGGACACCTGCTTTATCTCCCTTTTATCTCCCTCATATGTCTGTGTGAACTAATGGTGCCAAGTCTTAAGCACATTGTTTATATTTACAATTCTGATTTACTTGTAATTTATTTTGGCTTCCAGAATTAAGAGAAGCAGTGAGCGGATGCTTTTGAGGAAATTTTGGGAAGATAGATTTGTATGCAATACATGTTCATGGTCATCCATCGTTTGTTCATGTAACTGAGAATATGGGGGGAGTAGGATTGATGAATTAGGATATGAGGGAGGTTACCATGGTGTAAACTTTTTAGTTACCATTATTGAAATGCCGCTTTTTGTTCTTGAAACATATTGTCATTATTATATTATATTGATAGATTTTTAAAGAACTTCACCTTGTAATTATATCAATTTATCTTCTTTCGGTTTTTTGCCATTTTTTTTTCTTATTGTTTATAGCAAAATATTTTATTGAGAATTGTATTTATTTTTGTATAGCTGACTTACTCTGTATTCTTAATAGTTTAAATATGTTGAGAAAAATGTCAAAGCTTAAGCCAAACTGTATACTTCGTTGGTTATATTGAAACTGAAATTGGTTGATTTGTGCCCGTTATTTCAAAACCTGCATGCCAGAACAATAACGCTGGCAAAATTACTGCATGTATTCTTACTAGTAATTAATTTAGTACTTCAATGTCTTAGCTGTCTATACAAACTAACTTGCCAAATCTCTGAGAAATTTCCGCGCGTTGATTCGTGTAAATTGTTTTTATAAGAAAGTTGATGTCATCAATCTTCAAGAGAAAAATGAAATGGAAATGTTTAAACGTTTGATAATTGTATATTTTTCAGGATTGTTTACATCGTTTATGTTTATAATAATTTATTCAGGGGGGAAAAATTCTTACTGGAGGATATGCCATAGAATCTAAAGGAAACTTTGTGCAACCTACAATAGTAGAAATATCTTCGGATGCACAAGTTGTCAAGGACGAGTTATTTGGTCCTGTCCTTTATGCCATGAAATTCAAGGTGGCTCATCTTCTTCTATTGGCTGCTTATCTTTATATTTTCATTAAATCTTCTTATCATTTATGACTTCATAACCCTGCAATATTGAAGATCCTTTAGCATATTTCTCCAGACATTGAAAGAAGCGATAGAAATAAATAACTCAGTGCCTCAAGGTCTAAGTAGCTCAATATTCACACGGAGGCCAGAGGTCATCTTCAAGTGGATTGGGTAAGTTTTGAACTTTAAAAATTCCTTGGAGATTTGTTTTTCTTTACAGCATCCTTTGGTAAAGACTCGATTAGCTTTAAGATATGTAAACCTCACCCGCTATTGCATACTGGTTATTGAGGTGGGCTGGATCTTTGTTATTTCCACTTTCAATACAGTGTTGTTTTTCTTAGCTATAATTTTAGCCAAGAAAATTCTAATAGAAACTGGACATTGTCATCTATTGGTCCCTGCTATATCATATGAGGATGAGTAAAATATAATAATTTCATTGTGCTCAAATTATTTTTCCATCTATTTTTAAAAATACTCAATCTAAGGCGCGCCACATTTTCAAAAATGCTTCAAGACGTATGCCTCACCTGAGCTGCTCGGGCGAGGTGTACTCCTCACATTGGTTAAGGCATGCCTGGCGCCTCTCATGCTTAATTTTTTCCCCCTATATTAGACGGTTTTTCCATGAACCGAAGCCACACTCTCATGCGCAAGAGCTCCCCTATCCCCAGTCTGATCTTCCCAGCATCTCCGCTTGTTGCTTCTGCCACCGGTTTCACTTGCTACTTCTGCCACAGCAGCCATCTGCTTTTTTCGCTAAGCTGTCCGCTGCTCCTGCTGCAGCAGCTATTGCCACTTGTTTCTGCTGCTCGTGCTGTCACCACTGCCGCCTGCCACTCCTGCTGGCACTGCTACCATACTACTGTTGCCACCTGCTGTTTTGACTTTTTTTTGGTAATTATAATATTGTTTTGATAATAGGAGTGAGATAACTCTATTATGTTAAACTCATCTTATGTTTTATTTTGCTATTTTATGTTTTATGTTAGTTTAATGATTTGATCAGTTAATGTTTACATTATATTTTGTGCAAGTATTTCTATGATATTTTGCGGCCTACACAACTTATTATTTCATATAGACACAACTTGTCATTTTTTACCATGCTATGTTCTTCTTTCTATAATATACTAAGTTATGCTGCTACTATATTATTTCCTACCGCTTTCTTTTAACTTTTGCAATTTTTAAAATTTGAGGCTTACTTCTCAAACTGCCTTGAGGCTTACGTCTCTCCTCACAAACGAAAAACTCATCAAAACCCAAATGCATAATTTGGAACATTATTTCCATGTACTTGATTGAGATCTATAAGCTGTATCATTACGTTCTCCAAGTTTCTGAAATTTTATCCTCTTAAACTGCTGCAGGCCACTTGGCAGTGACTGCGGCATTGTAAATGTCAACATTCCAACTAATGGTGCCGAAATTGGTGGTGCTTTTGGTGGCGAAAAGGCGACTGGTGGTGGTCGAGAAGCAGGAAGTGACTCATGGAAACAATACATGCGACGTTCTACTTGGTGAGTTACCCAGCTGAAGCTATGCTAATGAGATCATGGGATCGTTATCCTGACTATCTTTTGCTGAAGCTTATCGTTCTGGTCTATTCCCTTGATATGATATTAAGTTGATACAGAATATTTTAGGGTCTACAAATTGTTAGTGCAGATCTAGTACAATCAATTAACACAAATTTGTTGCTTGCAAACCATTATGTTTAACTACTTTCTTTTGTTTCTTTGAATGAAAACCAAATTTATGAAAATAAAATCCTTTTTTATATAATTTATTAGCAATTGACAATCATGCTACGGCGCGAAACTAAATTATATCAAACTAGAAAAAAATCAACCACCCATGCCAATCAAATCAATATTTAGAGAACAAAAATAAATTAAAGAAATGGGTGGAAAATATATTGACCAACCAATTCTTCTGCTTGTGTCAAGGAGACCGCCTTCCCTGAAAATCTTTAGATTCCCACTTGGTTATGGAGAGGATTGGAAGGAATTGCGTATACAGTGAGAATTTATTCTGAAAGATTTGATTGAGTTTTTACATGCTTCAAATCTCCTTTTAAAAAAATCCCCTTGGCTTTACAAGATTAAAAAGAGAAATTAAGAGTCATTACTGTAAATCCTCAAAATGTCACTTCCATAACCTCGACTATGCATCTTAAGCCTCCCGGATAATTTTGGATAATTGCAGGGCATAACATGGCAGACTTACGCAACAATGACTTGAGGAAAATAAACTTTCTACAATATCTTAATTGTATAAACAGAATAGCCCACTCGATCAATCCATCTGTAGCAAAATCATTGAAAACAAATTTGATTGCATGCTTAATTTCAAACAGTGTTCAACATAAAAACATAACAACATTATAAATCACTAAAATTTATTGGGTGCCGAGTCAACTTTCTTAAGGGGAAATTCAGAAAAAAAACTATCCATTCTATTTGTAGGGTGACATAATAGGCATGTTTTGTTTAAAGAGAATACATAATAGGCATGTTTTGTTTAAAGAGAATACAAATCTAAAACTCTCACAAGAGAAAAAGGCCATAACAAATAAATGTAATTTGTTTATTAGTTAGTCTAAAAGCACACATGTTGTATGCTTGACTCCTGTAAATTATGAAATTTATATCAATTTTCCATCTGAAACAAATTAGATTTATCAAATTATTCATCTTATATTCTTCATGAGGACATAAGTGCTATGCTACCTTTATAGGAGAACATAAGTCTATAATTTAATGGAAATAGAGGGCCAAAGTCTAAATCTAATGTCAGAAATCCAGTGATTGCTAATGTAATTTTACAATAAGATATATAAGATCATGCGAACACATTTAAAATTTCATATCACAAGGTCTTGTTGACAGTATTTTAATACTTGAGATGATAATTTAGTAGCCTTATATTAGAAAAAAATAGAGCAATATCATCAATTTGAAATTACACGCATTAAAATCTAGAATGTATTCAATTTAAATGAAATTAATCACATCTGCAAACTAATAAAATTTTTTGAGAGTAATAAAATAATGTAGAAGGAGAAGAAGTCACTAAATAAAACTTCCCGTTCGCAGGAGATGATCTTCTATGAATCTGAAGTCTCCAGGTTGGCCTAGGAGAAAACTGAATTGAACTGGATATCCAACTAAAATGTTAATCATAAATACTTTACTCCTCTCAAAATACTTTATATAATAGAAAGTTCCCACGGATTTATCTTTAAAACAATAAATTAAAACTTGCCAACATTATCTTTAAATCCACTTTAAGAAATCCGGTTTTGATAAGCAACAACCGCAATAAATTTCTGAAGCTTTAAACATTTTTTTTTAATACTTCACTTAATTTCTTTGAAATTTTTAATATTTCAATTGAGTTCATGTGAATTGATAAGCAACATCTTGCAGCACAATCAACTATGGAAGCGAGCTCCCGCTGGCTCAGGGAATCAACTTCGGCTAAGCCCCAAATATCTTCAGGTCAGCCTTTGCATAATGAGCAAATCTAAATAAATACGAATGCCTTGATTAGATTTCTAACATAGAATGCTGAAAACATACATACATCAACAATTCTTATGTATTTACATATCTAACACCCAAACATTCATATTTACATGCATACCACGCATATTTTTAACATCACATCAAAAATTACGGCAGCGGCTATCTCTTTAAAAGTGAAATACACCCTCTCCTGCATAAGTTTATGCCACCAAGCCGTGATAAATGTAAATATTGAACTCTGGGTGTTAGATATGTAAATACACAAAAATTGTGTGGTTCGAAAAAAAGAAAGTAAGCTTCATCATCAACCTCACCATTTTCATAACAGCCACAAATTTTAACTCTTTCTGTTGTCTAAAATTGATTATTCAACCTCTCCTGCATTGCTTGCAGTTCAACATGTTGGCCTAAAGACTTTTGTGAAGTTTCTGAGCTTCTACCATGCAGGCAGTAAAACTGTGAAGGACTTGTAGCTCTCTTAAACCCAGTTCAGCCGCAATTTTGCTTCCATCTTGTGTTAATTTATATAATAATTATCTGAATGAATGCACTTTGTTGTGTTTTACCTTTGTGAAATGATATGGTCAGCATTTAATGCTCATTTTATCTTTTTATAGAGAGAGCTGGATGTTAATTTTATAAATAAAGAAAAGTTTTCAATATTAAATTAAATTTTTATTTTTTTTATTTTTTACTTTTAATTTAGATACACATCATGGTTCACAATAGGGCTGTAAATGAACAAAGCGAATTCAAGTATTCAAACTCGAGCTTGTTTATAAAATTGAGTGAGTTAGATTCCGGCATAGTTTGTTTATTATTCTGACTAGAGTTCATTTAATGCTCATTTTATATGGAAAATTTTTGTTATTATCAAGTATATAAGTAATATTAAAATTATTGTTATTAAATGATTTATATTTTAATTAAGTGACGAACAAGCTAATTAGTAATATAATTGAGTTAATTATTTGTTAATCATAACTTTTATTAAATTTAAAATGGAGTTATTTGTTACTTATGAAAACAAATCAGCATCATTTAAATGTATTATTAAATGAGTAACTAAAATAATTATACAAACATGCAAAATAAATGGATAATTAAAAAAAAATAAAATTTAGCCTTATTTTATGAATTATGAATTAAAAATTTATTTAATTTAATATAAATGATTTTAAAATCAAGTTTTAATTAAATTTATTCACAAGCTTTAAATTAAGTTTTAACTGGTTTTTTTCAAAAGTATTAAATCGAGTTTAATTTGTGAGTTTATCATGCTTCTTAGCGAGATTAATTAGGATCTTTAAATGATGTTATTCGTGAATATAAATTAATTAAATAAAGAGTTGTTCAAATTTATTTATTTAACAAACAAATATTTATAAAATTATTCAAAATTGTTGAAATAGTTAATCAAATGAACACGGACGAGTTATGATCAAACTGAGCTAAAAAGTAAGGTTTAGATGACAACTTGAACTCGTATTGATTAATAAATGATCATGTTTTGCATCCCGTGCTTTTTTCCGGATTAGAGTTAGCAGATTGGTCATACAATTATGAGCTTTTTAGATGCTTTTTGGGGAATCATCAAATAAAATGAATCTCACACACTGATGATCATAAACATGGCTCAATTGGTACACCAATACTTTGGCTTTGGACATTTTTGATGTCACCAAAAGTAAAAAATTATTACTTTGGACGTCTGCACGTCTTGACGGCCAACCGTGACATGTATGATGCACGTCTTGACGGCCAACCGTGACATGCATGACGACGTGATACCTAACCTAACGATTATCGTCCTCACGTGCGAGGTAAAATTTTGTCCACGGAAGGAGAAGTCATCGTCAAGTCAAGTGAGGAATAGCGGCACACCAACATCCGGACACAAATTTATTACCCAATCTAAACTGACCTAATCAATTGGGCGTAGAAGCTCTGTAAGAACTCTTGCGAACTTATCATCTGCTTCATCACGAAAACCTCGTCCTCAAGCTGCGCAATAATGACCGACATGGCATGCGTCTTCGGACTCCCCTGGGAGCCGGCATCGCCAGTAGGGCTGTCAAAAAAGCTCGTTGTTCGCGAACAGTTCGTGTTCGGTTCGTCAATGAGTTCGTGTTCGATTCGTTCGATAAGTAAACGAAACAAACACGAACAAATTTTTTTTGTTCGGTTAGTTAAACGAACCAAACACGAACAGTGATGCGTTCGTTCGTGTTCGAATCGTTATTGTTTGAAATATAAAATAATATAAAATAATTAAATATAAAAAATTTATTATATTTTAAAACATTAAAATTTATAAATTATAATATATAATAAAATAATAATAATAATATATTAATATACTATAGTAGTAATATACTAATATAGATATTGTATATTTATATAATATAATTTATATAATTAATATATAATATTATTTTTATATATTAATATTAGGGATGTCAAATTGGCTCGTCGTTCGCGAACAACTCGTGTTCGGTTCGTGTTTGGCTCGTTTGTTAAGAAACGAACACGAATTTATTTCAAACAAACTAAATTTTAAATGAACCGAACATAAACACAAGCTTTGTTCGTTCCTGTTGGGTACGTTTACACCCCTAATCGCCAGCCAACGAATTCTCAACCTCGGCCAAGCAAAAGGAAGAAATATTCCCTCAGTACTACGCACCTTCCTTACGGTGCGTAGCCAATAAAAGTGCGGCACCTGTAAATCACGGTCCCACTTTTCACTTCATTTTTTAAAATAAAATTAAAATAAATATTAGGCCCGGCCCGAACGATTACCCGAACCTTTTTTTATCTTTTACCGAATCACATTTTAACTTCTACTGATTTACGAGATTTTAGGGCCAACTTCTTCCTCGGCGAAAATCTCCGGCACAACTCGGCGAAAATCTCCGGCGCAACGCAGCTTCCGGCGAAACCCTTCGGCAAAGCGGAGCTTCCGGCGTAAGCGAAGGTCATGGCGTCGTCTCGTTCCATAAAATCACGGTATGAACGTAAACCAGAGTCGGGAAATACGAGTAACACATCAGTAACACAACAATGCACTGTAGTAACACGTCAATAGCACCACACATCAGTAATATACCAGTAAAATATAAAAAACACAACAATAACACGGCAATACCACATGAATAACACATCATGGATTTCAATCATCAGCAGAGAAAAACCCTACTCGACAACTGCATAAAACCAAATTCTTTGGACTCACAGAAACCTCCATGACATAGTTTAGATGTGTTATTATTGTATTATTGGTGTTTTATTCATCTTTTTTTTTTTCTGTTTTTACATTGTGTTACTGGTGTGTTACTGATGCGTTATTACCGTGTTATTCATGTAATATTGATGTCATATGCTACTTTATGAGGGTGATTGTTAATTAATGACTTAGGTTTAGTGTTATTCTTGTATTACTCATGTATTATTAATGTGTTATTCATCTATTTTTTTTCTGTTTTTAAATTGTGTTACTGGTGTGTTACTGATGCGTTATTACCGTGTTATTCATGTAATATTGATGTCATATGCCACTTTATCAGGGTAATTGTTAATTAATGACATAGGTTTAGTGTTATTCTTGTATTACTCATGTATTATTAATGAGTTACTCTGCTGTGTTATTCTACTGTGTTATGTTACTGTGCATTAACTGCATTGTGTTACTGATGTGTTTTTTCCGTGTTACTCTTGTATTATTGATGGGTGTAGGGTTATTACTATTTAATGCCATAAGTTTGTTGTACTATTCTTGCATTGCTCCTCTATTATTCGTGTATTACTTTCCTTTGTTTTACTGTGTTACTGATGTGTTATTGCCGTGTTATTCATGTTTAGGGTTAGTATTAATTAAGTATGTTTCATGTACTAGTCCTGTGTTAGAGGTGTGTAATTAGTTATGCTTTGTATTATCCACCCAAATTTGTGTTATTAGTTATGCTGTGTTACTGATGTGTTATTGCCGTGTTATTCATGATTTGTAATTAGTTATGCTCCTCTATTATTCCCTTCTTATGACTGTTGCTCTAATAATTTGTCATTATTTCTTTAATTTGCAGGATCATGAGTGCAAGGACTTTCAACTGTAGATGTCGTCCATCTGCAGTGAGAAGTGCCCTGGATGCTATTCGTGATCTTCTTTCAGAGGAAACCATTAATAATTTAAGGGAAATAAGGGTGTTCAACTTCTTTGACATGCCCCCATATCCCCAGGACAATGTGATGACTTTACATATTTTGAGATGCTGGGATAATGAGAGGGGTGTCTTCAGAATGGGTGGAAAGGAGGTTCAGTTACATGCTGACCATGTGGCTATGTTGATAGGGATGCCCAATAGAGGAGAGCCTGTTTCATGGAAAAGAGGACCCCTATCAAATGTGGATGCCAGACAAATAAAGAACCAACTCACAAACTTTTTTGCAGAAGGAGCCTCCACCCCACCTTTTGAGGAGTTATACTTGAAATTTTTACTAACTAACTTGTTTTTTCCTTCAAGCAATTTTCATGTGCATGCAGAGCTATCTTCTTTTGCTGTAAATGTACAAGCTTTTTCGTCTTACAATTGGCCTGCTGCCATATGTGATATGATCATCGATCAAGTTAGAATCGCCTCAGTGAAATTAAGGCAAAATAAGTCAATCGGCTACATTCAAGGATTTGTATTTCTCTTAACAGTAAGTATTTGTTATTTTCATTGAAACATCACTCTTATGATTTGTTTGTTTGATGTCCTGACTTCTGCGTACATGTTAATGGTATAAAACATCCCCAGCTTTGGTTTTACGAGCACACCTCTCTTCTAACTCCTGATGATCCTGACGCTAGACCTCGCATGCTGAGGTGGCCAACCAATCATGGGTTGAGATGAGGAGGCGGATCTGAGGG